TTTTTTTTTTTTTTTTGAAAGATAGCTTTATTTCCAAAATATATAAATCGGAGGCCGGGAAAACCTCCACATGACAACCCAGATGGAAAAACTGGGCCAATAGCCTTCTCAGGCTTTTGCTGGAAACCGGGTCCAACGTCCCATAAAACTATCTTCCTAAAACAAAGAAGCAACTGGACTAAGAATTCAAAACAACCAAGCAAAAATAGGAGGGAGGGTACGTGCCCCTGGGCTCAGGCGTTCTTCTGCCAGTTGGCCAAAGTCATATTACCGCCTGCGCTGAGGGTGGCAAAGGATCCCTCCAACGCCCAGGTCCTGCTAAACCAGATGAAGCTCTTGGACCTCCAGTCTGATATTACTGTGATTCGTAGTTCCGCTAGAACACCCTTGAAGAGGAGATCATTCCTGGCCCACCAAATGGCTTCCAGGATAATCCCTCTGCACGTGGACTGGATGTAGTTATTCCCACTCATGAGTGAGTCCTCATTGTCTGTTGTACCCTGTAGGATAAACTTGTCAGACCAATCTGTGTTGTCCTTAATCACGAGTTTCCATCTATCCTTCCACCATTCCCAAATCTTTGAGGACTTGGGACAAACCAACCAGAGGTGGTGTGATGCCCAACCTCACGCCCAACGCGACTTCCTGATCGGAGTGAGATAGGGGCCTGGAAGTGCGAAAAGGGGGTGTGCGAAAAATTTTAGGAAAGTGGGGGTGGAGTCCCAGGTTGGAACTGAGATCTCCGGTGGCAAGTTTAGGGGTAGTAGTGCAAAATGGAACGCAAAGACCGGTTTTGCGCCGCGGTGGTTGGTTCCTCAGCTGGTGAACCAGTGGGTCGCGGTAGCTACCGCACGGTTCGATCAGTTGTAGGCGTCATTCGATCCCGTTTTGGGTTTGCCAGGTAATTTCCGATGCTCAGCGCCGCTGGCACTTTTCGTACGACGGGCAGGGCCAATAGCGGGCTATGGAGTTCCACGGTACCACTGTGAGCTGGTGGTATGGGAGGAGGAGATGGAAAGGAGGAAAGCTGGTAGCAATAACGACGAAGCCCGGAGATATGTAATATTGAGTATTGTCGGTATCAGGGTAGTCCGGGCCCCGGGGATCGTTAGTTATGACCTAGTGGAAATCCCGTGCGCACAGTCGATCGTATTCCGTCAGACAGGGAAACTCCGGGTTTCTCAAGTTTCCCCGCCGTCTGAGTTGTTCACCCTCCCAGTATTCGCGATACTCTGGGTCCCTTAGGCCCTTACGATTGGTGATCCGAGAGGGGGTTCTTGCGGCCATGTCCGATCAGTGAACTCGATCTCCCGCATCCTCGTAGTGAGTCAGGGTCGGGAT